CTTGGGATATGACTTTTTCCACACCTTGTGGATGTAGACTGGAATTGGTCCCCCCTAGCCTGGAAGTTCTCCCTCCTTGCCTCAGGGGTTTTATGATCTTCACTTTTAACATTCAAGTGTCTGTTTGTAGTTTCTCAGCTAGTTTCAGATTTTCCAAGTTGCTCCTGCCCTTTGTTCTGTTTGACTAATTCTGACTGCTTTGCTACCTGCATAGCTGTATGTAGGGTTAAAACTTTCTTCAACTGTAACTGCTGTGAAAGGTTTTTATCTGTTAACGCAATACCCAGCCTGTCACCAATATTTTCATGTTTTGCATTCCCAGAATCACAGTTTTCAGCCAATGTATGCAGAGCTCTTATAAAACATTCAACATTTCCCCCTCATTCTTGAATTCTCTGGTGAAAACATGTGCTTTCACAAACCCCATTTATCTGAGGTATAAATTATGCATCAAACATAGCCAGAACCCTTTCACAGTCATCTTTGTGACTTGTGTCTTCAGTAAAGTCAAACCATTTAAAGATAGGCTCTGCCTGCTTCCCCATAGCATATATTAAAGATGATACCTCTATATACAGTTTCTTTGTGGAGTTGAATAGCAATGCTAAATCTTGCAAAATATTGTTTCCAGTCTGTCCCTTCTGAAGGTTTGTTGAAGCTGATGTTCTTGGGGGCATTGAAGAGGGGTGTTGAAGGCATGCTGATGAGATCCTGCAACCTTTGTTGCTTTGTTCCTTCTGTTTGCAACCTTTGTTGCTGTTTTCCTGCTATTTCTGTTCTTAGTTTACTCCTGACACCATGTCATAGTCCTGTACCAGATATGGACTGGCTACAGAGCTCGCTTGTACACACCACATGTGTTCATCATAAGATCCTTTAATGCTTTGCCAGACACGTCTGAGGTTCATTTAAATGAGGTCTTTTACACACTTTGCCACCTAGTGGTTGAACAGTATAACACAGTTTAGCATTCCACTACACTAGGAGCCTTTGCACATGTGGGCATCCTGCCTGCAGGACTGCTGGCTCACCTGCCCTGTCACTCAGCCGGAGAAGGGCCGCTCAATGGCTACAAACCACCCTCATCCTGGAGGAAGGAAATGATCAGTCTGTGGAGCATGTGGGGAAGCCTGTAGGTTGAGAGTTGGAGAAACTCCCTGCAAAGCTAGATCCATCCATTCTATTGGCTGGGAATCTCCCTCTCTGTCTAGATTAATAGCATTTAAGGCCAGCAGGTGCAGTGACCCGGCTAGGTTCGGCTGTGCTAACGGGGAGGCGAGGCAGAGGCAAACCAAGACAAAAGGGGTGATTTTAAAGTTTTCGAACTTTATAAGGGAAAACCCCCAAATTGTACCAGGAGGATAAATAATGTAGAACATTCCCAACGACTTACTACATAAAATAATAAACTCTAGGTTACCAACTCAGTAACCTTTGTGAGCGTGTACACACTGAGCAGCTAGTGCCAAACACACTGTTACTAACAAGAACAAGAGATTACTCAACAGAATAGACGGTATCACTTCAGAGAAGAATCAGCTTTTCCTCTCCTGGGCTGTAGCTCCAGCGCCACTCTTGCCGTCCTGCTCTTTGCTTCTCTTCGCCTTGACGTGCTCCTTAGATTCGAGGGTCCTGGGGTTGTACCTCTTTGCAGTGAGTTCATCCATGAGCAGGGCTTTGTCATCTAGTGCGCGCTCGTTTGTCCACTAGGCACCTTTGGTCTGTCAGTAGCTGTTCAAACGGTCATTCTCTCTGTTCACAGACTTAGGTCCTCTGTGGGTGGGCATCTCTTTGACTGGTTTTAGGACCTGTTTATATCTAACAGCTTTTTGATCAATTTCCTTTTTCACCAGTTTCAGGGTTTTTCCTGGATACTCTTTCTGGTGCGTCTGTAGATTTTATTTCCTTCTACTTCCTTTCTCTAACCGTGTCTGCTCACATGCCCCGGTCTGGTTTTTTCCGCTTCTCCTGACCTGAAACTTTTCCTATTTTCCGTCTTTCCTCCGTCTCACTTCCCAGGCCCTACTCTAGTCTCCTGGTCATCTTTTATTTGATCACCTCACCTCCAATCCACACTCTGGTTCATCCACTAGCTCACCAGCTTGATTCTTTGCCCCCTCTTCAGCTCGAGCTGCCCTCACTGGCCATCTCTCTCCCCAGGACAGCACGCTGGTGCTGCTGCATCACCGCTGCAGCAGGTGCCAGTGCCAGGGTGAAGCGTGCTACAAAGGGACCATTAAATCATCCAGTGTCCCCCATATAGCACAGGCCAGAGAACGTCGCCCTGGTACCCCTACACTCAGCCCAATGACATGTGTTTGACTGACGCATCTTGCAGAAAGGCAGTCAGGCTTCCATAGGAGCTGGAGTTCACTCCCCCTCACTGTTAACAATTGGTGCCTTTTCTAATTGGAATGTGTCTGGCTTCAGCTTCCACCCATTGGGTCTTGCTCTGCCTTTCTCAGCTCGACGAAAGAGCCTTTTAGTGCCTGGTATTTCCCCCCATCTACATATACACTGTAATCAAGTCACCTCTCAATCTTCTTTTTGATATGAGTCTTCCATCCCTCCAGTGCCTGATTTCGAAGCTGCTGGCTTCCAAGCCCTCCTGCCCTGTGTCCTCTGTGCGTTAGAGAGCTGGCCACGGGGTTGTGGTTATAACTAGGACTGTCAAACGATTTTAAAAAGGAATCCCAATTAATTGCTAACTTAAAAAAATAGTCACAGTTAATCGCAGTTTTAATCGTGCTGTTAAACAATAATAGAACATCAATTCCAATTCAGCATAGAAGCACGTCCTCTGGAATGGGGGTCGAAGCATGACAGGGCATACAAATGTTTAGCATATCTGGCTCGTAAATACCTTGCAACAAGGGCTATAACAGTGCCATGCGAAGGCCTGTTCTGACTTTCAGGTGACACTGTAAATAAGAAGTGGGCAGCATTATCTCCCAAAAATGTAAACAAACTAGTTTGTCTTAGTGATTGGCTGAACAAGAAGTAGGACTGAGTGGACTTGCAGGCTCTAAAGTTTTAAGTTGTTTTGTTTTTGAGTGCAGCTATGTAAAAAAATAATAATTCTACATTTGTAAGTTGCAGGTTCACGATAAAGAGATTACACTACAGTACTTGCATGAGGTGAATTGAAAAATACTGGTTCTTTTTTTACTATGCAAATATTTATAATTAATATAAAGTGAGCACTGTACACTTTGCATCCTGTGTTGTAACTGAAATCAATATATTTGAAAACGTAGAAAAATATCCAAAAATATTAATAATCCATTTCAATTGGAGTCCTATTATTGTTTAACAGTGCGATGAAAACCGCGATTAATCGCAACTATGTTTTTAATCTAGTTAATTGGTTTTGTGTTAATTGCTTGAGGTAACTGTGATTATTTGACAGACCTGGCTATAACTTCTTTGTGTGTGTATCTGTGTGTGTGTGTGTGTGTGCGCGCGCCTATCCCAGCCTCTGGGAGCGGGAGGTTGACCCAGGAGAAGGCTCAACCCAGCTCTCACACTCATTCCATAACCACAAGCCTCTCCCTCTTCTCCGAAGCCTGTGCTGGCCTGAGTGACCCCTGCTGTCTTGGCAGAGAAGGACACTCCAGTGCCGCTAACGGAACCCAGGGATGCGTGACACATCCCCCGTGGGCCAATCCCTAGGGGCCTGGGGTCTGTGACAGCATCCCTGGCTCCTTGGCTCACGCTGCAGAGCCTCCTGGGTTTAGCTTTGGGCTGGCCCACATGGTGATTCTCCCACTGACCCCCTCCTCCCCCTGGCTTTCTGCAGCAGAGAATGGGGAGAACTCGCGGTACAAGTCGTCCGGCTCCAGTGGCGAAGAGGAGCTGAACCTGGGCAAGAAGAAGCTGCGGAGGCAAAGGACTCACTTCACCAGCCAGCAGCTGCAGGAGCTGGAGGCCACCTTCCAGCGCAACCGCTACCCTGACATGAGCACCAGGGAGGAGATCGCAGGCTGGACCAACCTGGCGGAACCCAGGATCAGGGTAAGCAGGAGCCTCCTCAGACACTCCATTAGGGGGCAGTCTCTACTGGAGTGGGCCCCAGGCCTGACGGGCTACAGTGGCTCAGCCCGCGGTCTGCCTTCCCCTCCAACTGTAGCTTTTACAGAGTGGGGCCTTCAGATGAGTGGGGTTTGTGTGAGAGCCTCCAGAGGAGCGCTGCAGCACAGAATTCCACTCATACACTGAAGGAGTCGCTCCATTAGCTGGTAGCAGTAGCAGTAGTAGACCATTGTCCTCTGGCAGGTCATCCACTACAGAAGCATACAATGCACACTGTGCCAGTATGTTACAAGTGCCGACGGCAGGGCCAGGAACCCTTTGCTGTACAGGCCTGGTAACGGTGGGAAGAGGACGTCTCTCAGCATTGCAACTCCTGTCAAGTCAATAAGCAATTCCTATCCACGGCTCCTGGGGCTCGAGTGGAATGTAGGGGCAGCCCTTTGACTCCTGCCGTGCTGCCGTAGTGCCTCTGGTGCCACAGAGCTTGGGCTTTCCCTGCCCTGTCTGCAGCTTGGAGGGCTTGCACTGGCAGAGACCGGCAAAAGCTCATCACAGGGCTGAGTGAGTCTGTGGGGTCGGGACAGGCCCCCGGACTGGGGCACAGGAATTCATCACAGAGGGAGACAAAATTGCCAGGGTCATTCCAGGTGCTGGGGCGACTAGGGCTGCTGTTTGGGCCAGATTCAGACCTGGTGTGGGCAGGTGCAGCTCAGGAAGTTGGTACCAGGTTGCATGGGGCCACGTAGTGCTGCGAAGATGCCAGCTTGGCATCCCTAGAGCCTTAGTCACCAAGCAGGGACCATGTCTGCAATGCCCAGGCAAGCCCCAGGCTTGTACCGGAGACGAGGGGGGGGGCAGCTTCAGCCTCCAGGGGTCATTCAGTCCCTGGCCCCTCTGCCAACTGGGGATGGGGGGGTGCTTTGAGGGATGTGTGTTCACCTGCTAGCAGCTGGGCTGAGCCCCACCAAACGGTCCCCAGCTGGGGATGCCCGTGAGTCTCTCCTGGCTGAGACAGGGATGGCACAAGCTGCTGAGAAGTGGGAGGCAGGTTGATTAGCTGCAATGCTGGCTGCTGCGCCATTGAGCTCAAAGCAGGCTTTTCTCCCCTCCCCGCTCTCTCTCTCTGAAGGTCTGGTTTAAGAACCGCAGAGCCAAGTGGCGGAAGAAGGAACGGCACCTGCAGACCGAGCTGTGCAAGGGGGGCTTTGGCCCCCAGCTGAACGGTCTGCCCAGGGGCCCGTATGAAGACCTCTACCGCAGCTACTCCTACAACAGCTGGGCCCCCAAGGGCTTCCAGGCCAGCTCCCTCCCCGGCAAAAGCTTCCAGCTCTTCAATACTGTGGATCTCAATTCCTTCTCCCAACAAGCCATGTTCCCAGGGGTCGCAACAGCCTCCATGCCCAGGGTCCCGGCCCTGGAGAACTTCAACAACCTGGCCGGCCCCGCCAGGTCTCCCGCCCCCACCTACGGACCCGAAGCTTCGCCTTATATGTACAGGGACTCCTGCAATGCAAGCCTGGCAGGGCTGAGACTCTGGGCAAAGCAGCCCCAGCCCCTTGGCCTCGAGGTCCTTCCAAGCCCAGCCGCGAGCCCCAGCTCCTGCCAGTACACACTGGACAGGCCCGTGTGAAGGGGACCCCAGAGCACCGATACCAGCCCCCCTCGCCAGACTGTATAGAGGGGCGGGGGGTTCTCTCACCAAGGACAGTGTGGAGGGAGGGGGGTTCCCCAGTCCTGGGACAGTGCTGCCCTCAAAGCCCATGCACCCCACCTCCCTCTGCCAGTGCCTAGCTCAGGGAGCCCAGGGGGTGCCAAAGGCCATGAGTAGCTCAAAAGATTGTGGCTTAGCCCAAGACCAGTAGATCTAGCCCCCGACAAAGCTCACTGCAGGCAAAGTGCAGCACTTTGGGTTAAATTTAGCGGAAAACGCCATCTAAGATATCAAACAAGTAACAGACTCTTGGGAGGAGACAAATGCCCCCTGTGAGGGGAGTGGAGGAGGGGAGACCTGGAGAGGTCTGGACACAGGGCTCTGGGACTAGCCTGCTCAGCAGGCACAGGGAAGGGTGTGAAGCTGTTCTGAGTTCTGCACTTGGTGGCATTATTATCTCCAGCTCTTGCCAACGAAACAGAGACTCCGGAGCTCAGGCTGTGGCTAGAGCAGGGAGCTTGGAGAATTCCGTTCCCCGCGCTGGAAGGGAGTGCCAGAGGGTGAGCCGAGGGGCAGGGACGGTGTGTCTGGACTCCAGCGGATAGATCAGGAGCCCTGGAGTCTATTTCCAACGCTAGCATTTCCTCACCATGTGACAGTGGGCAAGTCCTGTCCCCTCCCTGTGCCTCAGTTTCCTTGTCTGTAAAATGTTGGTAACAGTGCTGACCGGCCTCACCAGAGGACTGATTCATACTTGTAACATGCTTTGGGCTCCTTGGGAGGAAGGTGTAATAATGTCGGTGCAGATGACATCAACCGGGGGAGGGGTAAATAACACTGAGGACAGTCACTGATACAGGGTGTTCTGGATCGCTTGGTAAGCTGGGTGTGAGCAAACCATGTGCAGGGAAGTTCTCTGGCCTGTGTTATGCAGGCGGACAAGCAGACTCACTAGATGCTCACAGCAGTCCCTTCTCACCTTAAAATCTCTGAATTTAGGTGCAAACTATTCTTTGACCTTGTAAAGTCGGTGCAGGCCTGCTTTCGGATCTTAGCCAGAGTTTGTGCAGGATCTGGGCACCTCACCATTATGATATCAATCCATGTCCCAGTCTCCTGAGGACGGAACAGACTGGTCTGGCTTTTCCAATTCCAACTCCCAGGAGACCCCCCGGGACTCCTTGGTGCACGGCTCACCATAGCTGAATTCCTCTCATTTCAGGGCTTACTGCCATGGGATTTGGGGCGTGCTCAAATAGTTCCCCTGTATCCCCCCCTCCCTCAAAAGCCCATACACGCAGCAGTACCCCCTCCAGAGCTCATGAGCCCTACCTTGTGAGTGGCCAAGTGACAGGGTGCTCTCCAGCAATGGCTATAGGAAACAGGGGTGGAACTTCGAACACACCCTGCTCGCCCTGCCTGGGGCCCTGGCTAGCCAGCTTTCACCTCATTTCTCTGGAAAGGGGTGGGGGAAAGTGTTTAAGACCCAGGGCTGGGAATTGAGGGTACAGCTACACTGCAAAAACAGAGCGGCAACAATCAGAGCCTGGGTCTACAGACTGGGACTCACACTTGGCGCTGAAAATAGCGGGTAGAGGTTACTGTTTGGGCTCTGAAACCTGGCCGGAGGGAGTTGTCAGACCCCAGGCGCCAGCCTGAGTGGGAATGTTTACACGGCTCGTGTTAAAAAAGGCTCCAGAGGAGATCCTGGCAATTACAGGCAGGTAAGCCTGACTTCACTACTGGGCAAAGTGGTTGAAGAGAATTATCAGACACGTAACTGAACACGATTTGAGGGGCAAGAGCCAACATGTTTTTTGTAAAGGGAAATCATGCCTCACCAATCTACTAGAATTCTTTGAGGGGGTCAAGAAGCATGTGGACAAGGGGGATCAAGTGGACATAGTGTACTTAGATTTTCAGAAAGCCCTTGACAAGGTCCCTCTCAAAGGCTGTTAAACAAAGTAAGGTGTCAAGGGATAAGAAGGAAGGTTCTCTCATGGATCAGTAACTGGTTAAAAGACGGGAAACAAAGGGTAGGAATAAATGGTCAGTTTTCAGAATGGAGAGAGGTAAATAGTGGTGTCCCTTAGGGGTCTGTACTGGGACCAGTCCTATTCAACATATTGATAAATGATCTGAAAAAAGGAGTAAACAGTGAGGTGGCAACATTTTCAGATGATACAAAACTACTCAAGATAGGTAAGTCCAAAGCAGACTGCGAAGAGCTACAAAGGGATCTCACAAAACTGGGTGATGGGGTACCAAAATGGCAGATGAAATTCAATGTTGATAAATGCAGAGTGATGCACATTGGAAAAATAATCCCAACAATATACACGTAAAATGATGGAGTCTAAATTAGCTGTTACCACTCAAGAAAGAGATCCTGGAGTCATTCTGAAAACATCCACTCAATGTGCAGCAGCAGTCAAAAAAGCAAACAGAATGTTGTTGAATCATTAAGAAAGGGATAAATAATAAAACAGAAAATATCATATTGCCTCTATATAAATCCATGCTAGGGTGACCAAACAGCAAGTGTGAAAAATCGGGACAGGGTGTGTGTGTGGTGGGGGGGGGGGGTAATAGGAGCCTATATAAGGCAAAGCCCCAAATATCAGGACTGTCCCTATAAAATTGGGACATCTGGTCACCCTAATCCATGCTACGCCCACACCTTGAAGACTACGCACAGGTCTGATCACCCTATCTTGAAAAAGATATATTGGAATTGGAAAGGGTACAGAAAAGCACAACAAAAATGACTGATGTGGAGAAAGTAAATATGGATGTGTTATTTACTCCTTCTCATAACACAAGAACTAGGGGTCACCAAATGAAATTAAGAGGCAGCTGGTTTAAAACAAACATAAGGAAGTCTTCTTCTCCCAACGCACAGTCAACCTGTGGAACTCTGCCAGAGGAGGTTGTGAAGGCCAAGACTATAACAGGATTAAAAAAGAACTAGATAAATTCATGGAGGATAGGTCCATCAATGGCTACTAGCCAGGATGGGCAGGGATAGTGTCCCTAGCCTCTGTTTGCCAGAAGCTGGGAATGGCAACAAGGGATGGATCACTTGATGATTACCTGTTCTGTCCATTCCCTCTGGCACCTGGCATTGTTCTTATGTTATGTTCTTACGTTAACCCCATGAGCTTGAGTCTGTAAACCCAGGCTCCGAGCCTCGCTACTGCAGGGTGGTGTTTGCAGGGTAGATGTATGCTGACTCTGGGGTTCCACTAGCCATGTGGATCTTGGCTGATTTGCTTCTCTGTGCCTCGGTTTCCACGTCTGTAAAATAGCATAGTAGTGACCAGCGCCGGCTTTAGGAAGGGCGGGGCCCAATTTGAACATTTTTGGCGGGGCCCCGGCAGGGATGACTAACAAAAAAAATAATGGAAAAAAAAGCCTTTAATTTCTTCCATGTATTATTTACTTTCCATAACTATATAAAAATAAAATTATATATTATGTACATTGCATCATACATGCTGTTGATTGGTTATTAATGAGCTCCGTTTCACGTGTGTGGGTCCCCGCCACTCCCTGGGGGTGTGCTAGGGTGACCAGATGTCCTGATTTTATAGGGACACTCCCGATTTTTGGGTCTTTTTCTTATAGGATCCTATTATCCCCCACCCCC